GGGGCTGTCTGTGCCCTCCGGAGGCTTAGCGGCCGCTTTGCAGAGGGGTGCCCGTCCCGGGGTGATAACCCAGGGGTGTCCGGATGGAAGCGGTGACTGTCCCGGTGGCTACCCGGGGTGCAGGCTGGGCGTTCGCGGCCGGAGGGCGGGGGGTTGGTCGTTCGCGGCCGCAGGGCTGGGTGACAGCGTGCGGTCTGCCTCCCCCGCTGGGGCGGGCAGCCTCTGGCCTCGGTCAGCTCTGCCTTCCTCCGGTGGGAAACCTGCGGTCGGTGTGGTTGTGCTTTGAAAGGCACCTGCTGCTTTGGGGGGAAAAAAAAAAAGGCTTAAATTGCAGAGCAATTGGGTTTTGGTGGGTTTTGCTTGATTTTATCCCTTTTTCCAAGCTCTGTTCTCCCACTGATTTAATTCCCGATAGGATGGGAGGGCCAGGAGTGTCAAACGCGGGGATATCTATCCTGACGCCTTCCTGCGCTAAACGCGTAAGCTCATTTTGGCATTTTGAGCGCAGAGCTCTTGGCAGATGTTTCTCCACTGACAATTAATTTAAAAAGAGTAACCGTCACGACAGGCAATGCAAAATGTATGCTACTGATTCTCAGCCCTGCTAATTTGCAGCAATTCATGGGGAAAAACCAGCATACACATTAGCAGACAAGATTTATATCTCTGATTGATTTCAGTTAACTTCATGCTTCCCTTAGGCAGATGAGGATTATATAGTTCTGCCTTCAAGAAGGAAGGCATTCGTTAATTACAGTCATTAATTACATGGACTCTGCTGAATGGCATTCTCAAATGTGGAAAAATGCAAAATGTTCAGTCACATATATTTATTGGTAGTAAAAATACAAAGCCTTTAGCCAACAACTTAAACAAAGGTGGAAGCAGACTATCAGCCTAAATAGCAAAGTGTTACAGGAGGGAAGTTCACAGCTTAATATTTTAGTAAGCCATCAAACTAAACCCAGTACCTAAAGCAGAGGCCAGCGTGCAACAAAAATGCCACTAAACACATAGGAACTCTTATTAAAGACAGACAAATAAAAACTGAAGTTATGAAATATGAATTGTTAAGACTGTTTTATTAGCATATCTTTGCTGTTGTCCCTTTGTCTGGGTTTTAGGGTTTTTTTGTTTTTTGTGGTTTTTTTTAAGGACAACCTGCACAGGTCTAGATAGTGTAGCTGGCCACAATTCTTCTGTTGTAAAAAAATTGGCAGGTGTGGGCTGAAGTTGATTTTCTTCATGCATCATTCTGCTTTTTCATGAAAACCACTGCAAAAGAGAGAAGACAATTGCAAAAGGAAGAGTGCAGTTTCTCTTGTGTCTCTTTGTCCATGCAGTCTTGCTGTTGTGGAAGCACAGGCCTTAAATGCTTCTCTGGTCACCACCTTAGGGGGAGGTTCAAAAGCTGTGCCCTGAAGCAAGTAAGTCTGAGTTGCTGAAAAGAAATTAGAGAGCAAGGTGAGAAAGGAAAAAACATATGGAAATAGTAAAAGATGGATGAAGGAGATCTGAGCAGGAAGGCAGGAAAAGAGTTGCTGTCTCTTCGGGCCACTGCTTGGTAAGGGTAGTCGCAGAGTCAGCGTAAGAAAGACCCAGGGTCTGCAGGAGATGGTGGGTGAGGAGAGTACGGTGATGGCGATGAAGCGCTGAGAGGCTCTTCGTCATTCGCTGCTCAGCTGAGTGCTGTGGCTCTCCGCTCTCTGTTCTTCTGGTCCTTAAATGAGTCTAAACTCTGAGGTACCTATCTTCTATTCTCCTTTTCTTCACTGCCTGTGACCTGAAAACTGGCCTTGAGTGGTGTCAGAAGGCCTTTGAGCGTGAGCTCATCTGGTCTGAATGTCTCGCATTTTAAAAACTTTTTTTTTTTTTTTTTTTTAAATATGTTGGATTCAGTTTCTCTCTCTTGAAGCAGTTTGGAGCATATATAAATAGTTTCTCACAGGGAGTGGGCTACAGTGACTGAGGTCTACGTTCTTCTACAGCTGAGAGTGTCCACATGACATTATTGCACCATAAGACTATCCAATCCTTTAAAATACAGACGGAAATGCAACAAACTGGGAGTATTCTGATTAAGATCAGTTCTTGGGGATTTTATTTTTTTCATTTGGAGCTGACAGCCTGACAAATCAGAGGGAGAAAGGGGAAAGTCTTTTGAGGAAATCCTTTAATTGCTTGCCTTTAAAAAGATGCTTTCATATAAAAGACTCATCACCATTATAAAACTTGTAATTAATGGCATCTCTCAAACAACCTACTGATAACCTTTGCTATGTCCATAGGCCCTGCAACGCCAGAGCCCTACTGCAATCGTAAGATTCAATGGAAGAACCTTGGGAGTAGATTGTTATGTGTATATCTTCAAGGCAGAGAGAGGGAGCTGTTAAAAGGCTGTACGTTTAATTTTTAGCTCTATCAGCTGTCCTGCTAACTGGTTGTTTCTCACTGGATATGTTTATAGCGCTCTCCTGAATCAGCCTCTTGATAGCTTTGTCCTTACAAAGGACATTCAACTTCTTTCAGACTTCAGAGGCTCTTTGGGCAGGGGCAAGGCATGCATTCACAGTCACACCACAGCACGTCGACCTCCTAAAGCCCTGGTGGGGCATAGCCTTGAAGTCACTGAAGAAACATCACTTACATAGCACTGTTCTCTTTTCAGGAATTGTCATCCATCACTATGAAAAACAACATCCTGTGAATTTGTTTCAAGCTTTGTGCCTCATCACTTGCTTCAGATAAGCTGTGCTCCGAGCTCTCCCGGGGAGGGTTTGTCCTTGGGGAGACATGGCCTTCTGCAGCTGGAAGCGGCTCCTCCTCGTGGGCAGGCAGAACACTTTTGCCAAGGCTTGGAGGAGCAGGAGGGGGGGCCCCTCTCTGCGCTGGAAGCGCTGCTGCCATTGGAGCACCGGCAAGTCTCTGGACCCCGAGGTGAGAGCATTTCTGGAGGAGAACACGGAGGTCACCAGCAGCGGGCACCTCACGCCAGAGATACGACTGCGCCTCCTCACCCCTCGCTGCAGGTTCTGGAGGGAAAAACCTGACCTGTGGCCATACGGGGACCCGTTCTGGGCAATTTACTGGCCAGGAGGCCAAGCCCTCTCCAGGTATGTAGCATAGATCACCAAAGTTGCTAAGTCCGATCTGCTGTAGGCCAGGATGTCAGACCTGGCTCTGCTTGTAGTGATTCCTAGCGATGTGTATTTGCCTTGTGTGAAAGCGCATTATCCATACTCCTCTCTGCTTATACAGGAGACACACAATCTCTTCCGGTTGGCAGTGAAGTTTCAGCACCTGCTATATATAGAATAACTTACAGCTATTCAGCTAAAATCTGTTGTCTGCAGTGGCGATGCATGTGTTGACAACAGGGCTGAATTTGGATCTGTGGAAGGGGCTGTGCAGTTGCCATCAAAACCTAGCGAGGTGTTTAATTCTGTCACACATTGTCGCTCCAGACAGGAGGATTGCTATTTTGTTGTAACACGTGGGTTGCTGGTTTTTGGGGTTTTTTTTTGTAGGACACAGACAGGAGTGTGGATGTGTGTCTGGTCTGTTGAAAAAAGCAGGTTTATGCTGATACACCTGGAGTGCTCGTTGGCCTGAATTGCTCTCCTCATTCAGCATTTCAGCAGCCTTATTGTCAAGCCTTCTCATGACTGTCTTTTTTGGTCACGTCAGAAGCCACATTTTGATTTTGGCTACTTACTGTCAAAATGTTTTTAATGTTCCTGATTCCAAGGAACTAGTTCGAGTTCTTTTATTCTGTACAATCAAATCTCTCACTTTGAACAGCAGAAAAAGTTTGTCATTGTTACAGCAAAGAACAGGCTGTCAGACATTCCTTGCATAGATGAAACGGAAGGATCTGAATTGGGGCTTTGCTGTTTTTCTGCAAGAAAGCATAAATAGGAAGGCGTTTTTGACCAGGAAAAAGATGAATCTTACAGTTAAATTGCAAGTTGATTAGCCTCCCATGTAGATGAACTGGAGTGCTCCTAAACATTGTGTAATTAAAATGGGTAAGGTCATCTCTACATTTTGTTATCCTGTGATTCATATGCCAAGATATTTGGGTAGCAATAATAATAATCTGGCATTTCACCACTTTATTGACTTATTGTCTATGCACTTCTTTGATGTGTCGGGAATGTCAGAAGTTAGCTGTGTAATCTGGAAAAGTAAAAAGAAAAAGGGAGGATGAAAACATGCTGCTTCCGTTAACTGTGCTCATTCCACAACGTCAGGAGTCTCCCATTTCAAGCTATTCCTCTTGGAGTAACCTAAGATACCTCGTTAACCCAGCATGGCAGACAGCAGTCTCCAACAGCAGCGCAACGCGCTGTGTGCGTGCCAGGGGATAGGGTTGGTTCCAGCTGTCCTGAGTCACTGTAATCATTAGCGGTAACTTGAGAACCACTTGGCCGCAAACAAGGCATTTGCAGTGTTAGGCTGGATCATGCTCTACACAAGTTACCATTGGAAAGTCATTGCAAATCCACGTATAGCCTCTAGAAAGGGGAGCGTTTTCTGTGGAGGTCCCATCCCTGTCCTCTGCCCTGTTGGTAAACCTGGGCTGTCCTTAGAGGAGCAGTGGCCTCGGGGGGAGTGCTGCCAAGCAGCTGAGTTGCTGAGCCTCTGCACAAAAGTCCTGCCTGGGTGCCCTCAGAAAAGAGCATCTGTTGACCTTCAGAGTAGCAAGTAATACTGTGGTAAACGGTGTAATACACTGGGTAACAGACCTCGTAGGAGGAGGTGATTTTCTTTTGCACTGAGCCAGTTTCACTCATTGGATTCATAACCACGTACTCAAAAGCACCAAACTGTGCGTGTCCAGGATGTCTGGTAGGATTCCTTGTGATGACATGTAGGACAGGAGGCATGGGATGTCAGGCCTTCTTCATGTCTCCTGCATTCCTGATCTCGGTGATTTGTATCTTCAGTCCTGGTCTCGACCTTCCTGCTATCATCACTTAATGGCTTGAACTGTTTAGTTTGAGGATAGGTTGTCTTTTGTTCTCCCAGTCTGGGCTCCCAGAAATCTGTAGAGGTGTGCTGGGATTGAGGTACCGTTAACACTTGATGCTCTTGTTAGGCCTCCTCCTGCCATTACTGCTGGTGTCCTGCCATGCCTGCTGGTGCTTTTGGGCCCAGACATTTCCATTCATCTGTTTGCCATTTACACCAATCTTAACATTTCCATTACAGTTCTCTGCACTGGAACCCACCTGCAAAAGCTGTGCTTACCAGTAGCCCTGCGTGAAGAGTCAGCCATCACCCTTGTCGTGGTTTAACCTGGCAGGCAGCTAAAACCACCACACAGCTGGTCGCTCGCTCCCCCCCCCCGCCCCCCA